TGCATGTTGAGTGATTGTTGTTATGCCGTACTGCATATAAGGGAACACACGGTGCAAAAGGGACGCAGGTACTTGGTGAACCGCAGAATGAGAGAGAATTACACAGGGAATAGAGGCTTCTCTGAGTGGCCTCAATGGAGTTCTCATCCAGTCATCCGTGATAGCTGGGAATACTTACTGCCATGGTGACCTCTGCCTCAGGAAACTGCTCAGTCCTGCTGGCTGTGGATGACTTTAGGACTGCCTAGTCTTCCAGACTAGAGTCATCATCTGTCCTAGTAATATTTTCACCATGACTGAAAAAGATCTGTAAACGAGAGAAATTCTAGCATTTCAAACAGTCCTTCCAAAACACTTCAACACGCTGAAGGGCACACCTGTGTATTTCACAGCATAACCTAACTTCCTGGACATTTTTCCAGTCAGTATTTAGTTTTTAGAATCTCTTTATATACCTTTCAGAACCTAGGTGTATGGCTTTTGCAGTTGGCTTCTGTGATAATCCATTGGAGAAAAAAAGTCACTGGGGGTGTTGGCCAAAAGGTCTGTCCTGGCCCTCGTTTTTGCAGGCTTGTGCTCCTTGGGCCCATGTGTTCCACCGGTGCCATTCTCACTGCCGATTGATCTAGTTGTAGTTTGTAAGAGCACCTAAAAACCTAATGTGATCGAAGTGTGAACCTGTTTCGTGATGCACTGATGCTGTTAATTCACCCAACAGCCCGATTCAGAAGTGGCTGATGCCGGCATGAAACTTGAAGTGTACTTTGAAGATCTTCTAAGGAACCTTTATCCTGAGAGAAAGTTTCCTGTACAACGCAACTGTCAGAGTGAAGAAGATAAATCAGAACTTACTGATGACTCGGATGATGACTTCGTTCAGCCCCGGAAAAAACGCCTCAAAGGAGAGGACCGTCAGTCGCTTAAATGAGCCGCATGTGTTAATACAGAACGTTTTTTTTAAAAAAACTGAAAATATTTATCACTGTTGATTGCAAAAAGGGGAACACTCGTGACTGCTTTGACCTGTAGGTTTGTGGATATTTACTAGACTTTCTACCCCTTGTCTGAAACACAAAGCTAATGGAGAGCAAGGCATGTGGAGAGCTTCTCTGAAGTTCCACACTTTCTCATAAGATTTCTGGAGCAGCACAGAACTTTCTCTTTCCGTGGAGTGACAGCTGTTTAACTTTACTTTGTGGATGAAAAGAAGTTTGCATAGAATTGACCTTTAAAACTTTACATGGGTTCAACATGTGGCTTTCTGAGTTTGAAGAAGATGTGGTCTCACCAAACTTTTACCAAAGGCATGTGGCTGGCCATAATTTGACTTCTTTGTACTGTATTTAACAAAAGCCATGAAAACAGATGGTGTAATGTTATTGTGCTGCCATACTGACTGGTACAATGAAAGTGTAGTTGCCCCCAAAGAGGTTATTGGTAATTTTAAAATTTAAGGGAGAGTGTATTAAAAAGAAAAAAAAAAGAGGAATTTGTTTGAGAGTTTTTAATGGGGGAAGCAAAGGACAGATTACCTTGGTTTATGCCGTTTTTCTTACCACCAGCACGAAACAATGCTGTTCCTGTACTATTGTGTGTAACAGGTGTCTTAAGTTTGTCCTCTGTTTAATGGAGTCGATGGCGAAGTCTCAAGGGGAAAAAGATGTTTGCTTGCAACTGTCAATCAGTCAGTCTTTGTGTATGTTCAGAGCGGGGGAAAAAGCATCCTTTCTGTCCACAAGCTCATGTTGTTTTTCCAAATTTCTAAATATGTTGTTGTCAGAATGCAGCCAGCAGCGTTACTCACTTGGAAGTACGCAAGTTTGAAGAGGTAGAGAAATGAGAAGGATACTGCTCTTCAACTCTTCATCTGTCCCTGTTAAAAAGGACACAAGGTGAGGACAAATAGCCTTTTTTATGTTCTGCCTACTTTCCAGAAGCACCAACAACAATACAGACGGTTGTTTCTGCCCTCAGAGATTGCAGAGTTGGAGAAGTACTTGTCCATGATTGCTCCAGCTATTGGTTTCTCATTTATGTCATCTTAAATGAAAACTGAGTTTTCGAGAGAGCAGGCAGTCTTTTAGATTGAGTGAGCTCTAATTGTGCCAGAATTGTACAGATGGAATTGTGAAGCTCTCGGAGTGTACACAAGCCTGTGTTTGACTTGCTGTGTTGCACTGATGGGGAACTCGGGAAAAGGCCCTCGTTTTGCCTCTCGCCAGAAGAGGTACTGCCCACCCGCCTTTGTCACAGGGTGGCACTGCACGCTGAAGTGCAGTGGGCCTTTCAGGAGAACACGGCAGCAGGCCTTTGATGTAGCTTTTGAAATGCCATGATCATGTGGTTGATTTTTAATAACCAGAATAACCATTTGTTTTCACTCTTTTTTCCTTCTTTGGGGGGGTGGGTTGGGGGTGTGTTTGTTTGCGTTGGTGGTTTTTTGTGAAAAATTTGTATTACCAGAAGAGAACTGCTTCTAGCAGCAGTTTTACCATCCTGGAGTACCAGGAAAAAAGAAAAGGAAGAGGGTTGAAGGAGCAGAACAGGACGGTGAGGGAGACCATCCTACCAAAACCCCTGTGATCGGTGCACACTACAGTAGCACAGACTTCAGAAATAAGAAATAATTAGAACATTTGAAGTCTTAAAGACCTAGAAATCCTAGATACCCTGTCACCAAGTTTAACAGTGCTTTCAGGGGAAGGTGCTGTGTGTTTCTCTGGGCCATAAGTTCCAAGCACAGCTTTATTAGAAGGCTTAGTGCATTTAGAGGTGAAGTTAGACACCCATATGGCTTCACACTTAAGTTCTTCTCCCAGCAGAAGATACTGGGGTGAGAAGCGTAGGTGTTACTCCTGCAGTCCAGTTTCTTACCTGTCTGCTGTAAACTGCTTGAAAATGTCTCTGTTTAAATAATCCACTGGAAAAATCTGACTTAACTTTCATCTTCCGGCCTTGAATGCCACGCTAAGAATCTTCAGCAGTTGTCGCTGCAATGAGGTTTGAGATGTTAAATTTAACTATTTTAATGCAGATGGTATACACACGAATAGCTGAGGAATGCTATTTTGTTTTTAAAAGAAATTACTATATTCTTTCAAGCTGCTATTGCAAAGACTGTACCTACTTTGTGTGTTTTCTCCCCTTTGCCTCAATCCACTGAATGGTGACTGTTTCCCTTCTTTGTGTGTGTGTAACGTCACTATTAATGGGACTGTAGGAAAGAGTCTCCATCTCACTTTGCAGGACAGGTAGAAAGCATCTGTTTATTGAATCGTGAGAAATGGAGCGTCCTTGAGAAATTTGCCGTTTGACTATACAAATCACAGCTCTTGGACTGCTCAGTTGCAATTTTTAATAATGAAAATGGTATGGAGAATCAACACCAAATGCAGCTCACAGGAAATGACAGATTCCAAAGGTTTATTTTTCCTTTCTTCCCAATCCAACATCAAACACTTGCTTTCATTTTACTTGCTAAAAAGGGGAAAGGGAAAAAAAAATACATAAGATTAATAAAATGCACATGAAAACCAACAGAAATGGATACAGGGGGAAACGATAGGCGTTTAGAGATGTCCAAAATGTCTCGCCTCTGATAGGCAATTGCCACGACTGCTTTGAGAATGGACTGATGCTGTCATAATAAACTGAAACAAGTAGATACCCTATTTAAATGTCATTGTCTAGATTTCACAAAACCTTACTGACACGTTTTTTAGTTAGGTGGTTCATTTAGACCTAGCTTTAAAGAGCACAGCTATTGCCTGGAGGCTTATGACTAAATATTGCCTTGTTAAAAGATTTTTTACATCATGTATTTAAGTTCTTGTATGGCTACAGTGAGCGTACTGTGTGAGGCCCTCGGACAATACCTCCAACAGCCATGGCTCAGCAACCCCTGAATGTCCGCGTACACAAGTGTAACCTCTGAAACGACCATAAGATAAGAGTTAGCGAGTCGAATTTAAGGTCTAATTGTTGCTTTTCTGAGTACACAACTGGTTCTGCAGGTTTCATTTTTTCCGTCCTTTCGACTTGTGCAGCTGGAGCTTAAAACTCCTGGTTGTAGCAAGGAGGGTAATAAAGCTACTGAGCTAAGTTCCCAGGAGAAGGGGTGGGGGGGTCCCGTTAAGGATTCATTACACTCCTATTTACTCTCAACCACTGTTAGCCAAAGTTAATCGAGCTGTAGCTGAATCAAAGCTTCCCCTTCAGGTCTAAAGCAGTTTTAATGAAGTGTAATATGTCTGTGTTTGTACACATGTGGGGTTTTTAAGTCTGGTTCTGAAGCCCACATAAAAGTTTGATCAAGCTCCAGGCTGCTGAAGACTGTGGATTATTTAGCCCATGGTCTTCTGGCTTATACAGGTAAGATGCAGGCTAGCAGGCGGTGCGGTGTGGGCATGCTGGATGCATGAGGTGAACGCTCCCGTGCTGGTGTAGCTGAAGTGGAGAGAATCAATCACAGCACTGCTCAGCCCCTCCTGCAACTGAACTAGCGCCACCTGCGCACGGGAGGCTGCCTGAATTTAAACTTTCCCCCTTAATCTTAGTGCTCAGTCTTTTGGCTGATCACTTTGTAGGAAAGACTAGCCACAAGGACTGGTGCAGCTGAGGCTTTTGACGTGAATTTGATGAATAAAAGGCTGTGGTAGTTTTAGGTGTTACTTACATCTGCTGTCCTCTCGCCCTGCAGCACAGGCAGAACAGAAGATGTGCCTGGGAAGCGGCAGCTTCAGATCAGGACTGGAGAGCCTAGCGAAGAGGGGCTTGCCCTAGCTGAGGCTAACAGGCTGGCTTGAGGGAGCCAGGGTTAGGTTTCTGGTTTGTTCTTTTGTGAGAAAAGAGCTTTAGGCAACTGGGGTGACGGTGCTTTACACTGCTGCACCAGCACGTTCCTGTGCTTGCCCAACCAGCCTTATTTTGGCTTATGAACCCTCAGGAGAGTTTGGGTTGGATTCTGGCCGAATCATGACCTACTCGTTGCCGAACAGCGTTTACAGAGGAGCCCCTGGAGCGGTAATACAAACCTGCAGTGCCCTGCCCTTGGTCTCGATGGGCAGTGTGAGCGCAGAGATGGCACACACGATGCACACAGATGCGAAAAGGCACAGGGCCCCGATGAAGGAAGCACTCATAAGAACCTGCAGGTGGATGAACACTGCAAACATCAGCTCAGCGGGACAGGGGCGCTGGCAGTTAATCAGTAATTAAAGGGCTGACAAGGGGTCACAAACACCTGAGGTACTCAACAATAGAAAAAGTGTCTTGCAGAACCTAAGGGCTTTCAGAAAGTAATAAATACTAGTAAGCTGAGCTCTGGGAAGAGATGTTTGTATATCTGCATCTGGCAAAGACCACAGAAGTACTCTGTATAAACATCAGATAAAGAGCTAATGAGGGAGGGGAGGAGGGGAATTTAATACCTCTTGTTTTTCCTTTTGTGAACTTCAGGGATATCTCTCTGTGTATTTGATAGCAATGATAGGCACAATGTTTACCAACATTATCAAGTGTGCTCTTACTTGTGATATAAATGGGGCCACCATAGCTCCAACACGGCACAATGACCCACTTGTTCCCATCCCCAGGGCTCGCATTGTGGTGGGATAGACCTAGAACAGGCCAGAAAGAAATTGGATAAGCGCAACGACAATCTGTGATATGTGTCCCTATTTTTCCATCTTTTTTATCTTTCTTCAGAGAGACCCATTACCTTATCAGGGGTAATAGTGCGATAAGATATGAAAAGAAATAACGGTTCCTTAAGGTCTCTTTTGTGCCATTACTAATCTGCCATTTTTTGCCCCAAGCAAAGTTTTAGGGTAAGTCAGTCAAAGCTGGATGTGATTCTCCTGCTGTTTGCTTACCACCACTACCACCACCTTTCTCCCAGCTGTGCTGGGCAGCTCACATCAAAGTCACAGGATAGGCTGCATGCTAAGGGAAGAATTCAATTTATATTGCCAGGCCCCGTATCTGGAAAGCAGGAAGAAAGGCTATCTGCAGCCCTTAAGACTGCCTGTTTATTTGTAGCAACAGCACTTTTGTTTAGAAGGAGGAAAAAGAAAAACACATCTCAGTGAGATACCTCCAGGCTGGGAATAATGTGCATTATGTATTTTCTTTTTCACATCTCCCAAACACCTGTTCCAATAAACCACTTACTTAATTAAAGTTAAGCAAAATACATGCTTAAGTCCTTTTAATATCAATAGATTTTAGCAAGTATTCTCATGGAAGCCTTTGTTTAAATACTTTACTGGGCCAAGCCAATGGAAGTAAGGCAATTCAAGACGAGTCTAGGCGTGTGGCCAGAAAGGGGATTTCCAAGTTTGGTTTTGATCATTGATTAAATTATGGTACCCATCAGCTTACAATATGGCTTTTGCAGCAATAGTCTTTACATCAACAGCATCCAATTCAGGTTGTTAAATGTTACTTATTCAAGCCTGGTGCATGCTTAAATAATACAGTGTACTATTAAAAGAAGTATCAGGCCAACATAGGGAACTACTCCTGTTTGCTTTTTGTCACTTTACTCAATCTGCAAGGCAATACGTTTAACTCCACACACCCGCTTAAAACAATGCATACGTAACCCACAGAACTCATGGCTCCAAAATTGTATGAGGGACAAGCTCTCTGAAGGATTAAAACTACTTGTAGACATAACAAAGCAATTTCCATTAGGTGAAGAAAATTACATAACCTTACCTACGACTTCGTACTACTACATTGGTCCCTGGAAAGGCATCTTTTCAGTGGTAGCCTGTTTTCTAACTTTGCAGGGGTTGGGAAGGGGAAAGATTGTGGATTTTGGAAGATGGTGGTACACAACATCTTCAAAAATAACGTTTTGTAGTAGCTGATGAACAGGTGTCTTGGTAGGGCATTCCTCTTGCCCCTGCTCTTGTCATCTCTAACTAGTTTCCTGATTACTTCTCTGATCTTGCATATGAAAACTGTGGCCAGGAAGCCAGAGATACTTAGTTCAAGGTGACTCTAGGCAATATATATGGCAGCATTCCTGGGTATAGGTGAACGGTCTTCCACAGAGTCATAAGACAGAATCATAGAGGCTTTGGGGTGGAAAAGAACATCAAGTCCAACTGTTAACCCAGTACTGCCAAGTCCACCACTAAACCATGTCCCTAAGCACCACATCCACATGTCTCTCAGATACCTCCAGGGATGGTGACTCCACCGCCTCCCAGGGCAGCCTGTTCCAATGCCTGGCAACCAATGAAGAAATTATTCCTAATATTCAATCTAAGCCTCCTCTGGCACAACTTGAGGCCGTTTCCTCTTGTCCCATCATGCCCCAGAGCAGCTCAACATACTTTCAGGAGAACCCACCTCTGCTGTGTAAATGTAGATGGTGTTGAAGTTGGCCGAAACCAAGGCACGCAGCATGAAGAGAAACCCAACCATGCCGGCGCTACACAGAAAGTCGTGCGGAGCAGAGAGTTAGTATCCCTGAATGGTGATCAGCTGAGATGAAACTAATATAGGCACAGTGCTTGGGCACACCTTAATGAAGGGAAAGCGTAAGGAGAAGTTGATTGCTGACAAGTATACTCTTCCTTCAGCCCATTGGCAAGGCGTGTTTACCACGGGCTATTGCACGTTAGGTTTCCCGTAGCCAGCGCTAGAGGCTGGAGGGAATGATCTGAACAGGACTGTAGTGGCTCAGCTGGTGCCTTCAGCATTACAGTCAAGCCTGATAATTACAGCAGTCACGGCAACTTTTCCGTGATGCCTTGAGCTCTTCTTGAAGTGCCCAACTCTACAAGTTAGAGGACATGTAGCATTGCCAAAAACGAAATCAAGGAGGGGGGAAAACTGAAAGAAAAGTATTACTTCTTTCTGTTGGATGTTCCTCACACCATTTTTAATTCTCCAGACTGCACTAGAAAGCGGTTAGCTGTGTGCTATGGGGAAGCCATGGGGGCACAGTAAAACAGGTGAGCTGTGCTGCACAGCCCTGCACCACAGCATCTGCTGCCGCAGCTTTCCCGGGAAGTGCAGGGAACCAGTCCGGGGGGGGTTTAGGCACACAAGAATTACTGGCCTGACTGGTGATGCAAGGATACCACAGGTACTGCCCTCTGCCCACAGCATTGCACACCCCGCCCCCCCAACAACACCCACATGCTGAGTGACACTACCTTGAGGTGCAGATATTAAGGAGAAGAAAGAACAGTGCTGTACATCCCATGGTGATACACAGGCTCAGGCGTCTTCCAAGGAAATTGATGCCAAGAATGTTCAAAGGATTTACTGGAGATAAAAAGGAAAACCATAAAATGTTAGATGGCCTAACTGCACTGATTGTCTGTACTGATACACTTTACACACCATGCCTCAAAAAAATACTCCTCTGCATCTCCAGCACCTAGTAAATGCTCTACAGACAACACAAACGCTATAAAATTCCATTCCTGTATCTAAACCCTGTAGTTTGCACCTGTGCTCCATCTTTGTCCTTCCTCTCAGGGGATGGAGCCTGTCCTCTGAAATTGCCCAGCTGTCTACGGCAGGACACCGGCACTGGTCCTGAGCCATGAGTAGAACAGGCAACAAAGGGACCCACTGGCCGGAGTGGTTTTGTTCCCTCCGGCAATGGCCCAGCCAAACATGGGTGCCCAGAGTGTGCATTGTTGCATCCCCCCAGGAGCCAAGCAGGCACCTTGGAGCATCGTTAGACTTGGTCCCAGCCCGGCTGCACCTGCAGGATCCAACACCCTGGTGTAGCTCAGTGGCTGAGACATGAACCAGGGAAAACATTCACCTCCCAGGAGTGCTGCAATACTGAACCCACACATGCTGCCAAGTTCTTCCAGGGGTGCCGCGTGGGTGCCTTTGGGCAGCCCTGCTATCCCCCAGTGCTCCCCGGTGGGATGCAGCAGGAAGCGTTTTGGTTTGCTGCAGAGTCCCAGGGCACTTAGCTGTCCGTTACTGCAGCGGTCAGCACAGGACCTGCTCCCGCGGCCACCAGCTCTTTGAAAGCAGGGCACTCGTGTGGTGCGTTCAGTTACATCAAGGTGGCTATTTGCAATCCTTCCTTACTTACGGCTTTCTAAAAACTACATGTCTGGGAATTTGGGAAGCCAGCCTCGGTTCTGGTAAGTTAGGAGCAATTTCCCCTGGAATCTAACCGAGGCTGTCAGCACATCCTGGCTGCAGAGGAGGTCTTTGGCTCTGCTGTTGGAAGCACCCATGCTGAAGCTGAATTCTTCACCTGGGGAGCAGTGCTCCCCCTTGCCCCTGGCCACCAGCTCCTGTCCTGTGTCCCAGACTCATTTGAAGAGCTGTGCCTGGCACCTGCCGGCAGTGCTGAGGGCGTTTCGCCCTCTGGCACATCGCTGAGTCCAAGCCCAGGGCTTTGCAGTGAGTACTGGCTGGCTGTAAAAAGGGACTGGCAGGGCAGGGAGGGGAGAAGAGGTTACGTGTGATCTCCCCGACTGTGCTGATCATCATGGTCTGGTAGGCAGCAGGCCCAAACAAGCGGCAGTGGCAGGGGCTGCGGCTCTCCTCAGAGTCATCGCCAGGGTCCCGCGCCGGCAGTGTCGCTGAGCCGCAGACGAGGTCCCGCTCCAGCAACTCCGCGCTGGCCAGGATGACGCCGTAGTAAGCGAACGCTATGCCGAGCCTGGGGGGGGAACGCTGCAATGAGCGGCAGCAGCGATGGGAAGGTGAGGGAACTCCAACGCAGCAGGTTTGGGGTGCCCTGGGGCCCTCGCTGTGCGCGCCAGCTCTGCCTGATGGACCCCCTTTGCCTGAGCCCAGCTGTGACTCCGGCACCCACCAGGTCACTGGTCACCCCACCCACGGCACACCACTACCACCTGTCCATGCCCCTCTCTTCCTCAGGGAACCCTCCCCAGCTTATAGCTGAACTTTTTGCTTGCCCCGAGTGCTGTTTTTGCCCCTTCAGTCCCTTTCCTCACAGAGGCCTGTAAGGGGAGACATTCCCAAACCACCCCTTCCCGGAGGACCAAGGAATCTCAACATCAGGACCCCGTGCTTGCAGCTGACGTGAAGCAACAGTGCAGGTTTTTCTTTTAGGCCTTATCCTTTCTGCCCAGGGATTTTCCAAAGGGGTTTTCATTAACTGGCTGGAGAGGCTGACATCGCACTGTGACTGCTGTCAAGAACACGGCGTTGGCGACGGCAGCCTGGCTGTGTCATTATCAAGTAATTCAGCACAGGCCTAATCATAACCAGGCTGAGAGGTAATTTTCACATTTTTACACACACGCCCCCCTGTCAGTTTCAGAAATGAGCAGCAGAATCTGGGCTAGGAAATGGGCTGGAGAGGCAGGCGATGCTCAGAGCATGGGGGCGGGAACATAAACCTGAGAACAAGCCAGCAGCTCCTGGGGGGACTAGGTGAGAAAGGAGGATTAAAAAACAAAGGGGAAGATATTTCATAACACTCATACAAGTTGAGGGGAAAAAAGACATAAAAAATTCAAGGCCTGACTTACCAACATTTTGGGTCAGTGAGTTCCCACGGACCCATTATTCATACATTTCCATTCCAGACAGCAAAGTCAATGAAACATGTATTACCCTTGCATACAGCTCCCGGGAACATTGCATATGAAACCCATCTCTCTTCAGCCGTAATTTTCCCTGGCCAGTGGCACTGGTAATGGTTAACGAGTTTCTGTTGGAGCCCTGTTTTCACTGATAGGCTGGCCTGCAAAAGGGGTGCATTTCTCCTTTTTCCAGGAGGAACAAGTTTGCACCAAGGAGGGAAGCAGAGCCGCGGGCACGCTGCCGGTGCACGCTGCAGGCAGGCGTGGGCTCTCTCCTGTGGCTTTCGTCCAGCTCCCTCCCCACCTCCCCTGAGCTGCCCTTTCCTGCGGACGGACTGTGGTGCCCTGCACCATCCTGGACATCCAGCCTTTTTCTGCTGTGTTAACACTAACTGACACAGGGTGTCTGAGGCACGGCCTGAGATCAGGACATGCCCACGGTGACCCGTGCCCACACACGTACTCCCCCTCCAGCTGCCAAGGATCTGCAGCTGCCTCCTGAGGCAGGAGCAGTGCATTGTCATGGCAGAGTTGATGAGAGTCTTCTGCTCCCTGCACAAGTCCAACTGAGAGAATGAGCTGATAAGCAAGAGGAAAAAAACCCCAAAATTTTACCATATGATCCATATCTGCAAAGTGGTTCTGAGGTACTTCGGGTGGATGAGATCCTTGAATCTTCCTCTCCTTTCCTGCAAGTTGTTCAATAAAAATGGAAGTTTTTTAAAAGGCATATTTTATACAGGGATGAGTGCTCTGTGGTAGCAGCTGACACCCCAACCCTCCCCAGCCCGCGCCCCAGGCTGTCAAGGGCATGGACAGACTGATAGAAAGTGCAACACAGCACCCCGTCAGCCCCCTGGAGAGGAAAGCCCCTCTTCCCAAAGGATGCCCACAGGAGAATGAGCTGCAAGGGATGGAGGAGAGGAGAAGAGAACATCCTGAGCACTCCCAGCCCCCAGGACCACCCCCACCTCCTGGGATTCTGGCTCCAGCGTGGTGCTGGAGGGGCACCTGATTACTGCAGGGGGCCAGCCCTGCTGGGGCTGATGGCAGCTCCCATTGCTCCACGTGCTGGGGAGAGGGGCCCAGTGTCCACTGCTCTGCATTTGGGTCAGGTCTGTGGCCACGTGCATCTTGCCGGGAGGCCTGAAGTGCCAGTGAGCGGAGAGACAAGCAGGCACTGGGGGCCCTGCCCACCCCACTGCTCCCCAGGAGCCGGCAGCTGGCCCAGCACTCCAGCAAGGAGGGGAGAAGAGTTCACAGGGATGGTTTGGGTTGCCTTTATTTCTATTTTCCTCATCATTTCTTAAGCCTGAGAGGGTGCACAACTAACAAAAACCTTTCCCACAGCCAATGTGGGTCTATTACATAAATTCAATTAAACTACAGGGAAGCTTTAATCCTAATTAATTCCATTACAATAGCACCATCTTGCATGAATTGCCAAGTACAATGCTTGGTGCCTGTGGGGCTGAATAACCAGCAAAGAGGTCCAGGAAAGGGACTTAAAAGAGCTGGATAATAGTTTGGAGGTCCTGGACAACAGTTTTGTCCAGTATTTCTCTCCTGGGTGTCAAAGGAGCCACCTGAACAAGTCCTCCCACCCTGCAGTCAGAAGGGCCCGGACTGGGGGTAATGGGGAGCAGCCCTGGGGGGATGCCTGGTCCCAGCTCCTCTTGTACCCCTTCTGCAACACACACACATGCTTTTGGGTGTTTCAGCCCAGTAGTGATCAACTCCTGAGCTGCTCAGCTGCTTACAGGCAGAAATGGCAGTAGCTCTGGAATGGCCTCTCCTGCTATGGCCCTCTTCTGCTGGTCCGCAGCTCCACACGTGGGGACCTGGGGTGCTGGGACCCAGCAGACACGCCTGTCCGGGGGCTGGGACAAGCCTCTGAGAGCAGTGTGTTGACCTCATGGCAGGGGAACCTTGCAGCCTGAGCAGCCACAGCCCTGAGAGGCAGGTCTCAGGTCTCATGGCACAGGGACACCCCTGGGACATGGATGGGCAGTAAGGGAGAACGTGCTTGGCCGGCAGTCCTTTTTGTGGTAAAAGAAGCAAATCTTTTCTCAGCGTGATATTCTTCTAAGCTAACAGGAAGAATGCAAAAAAAAAAAAGCAGAAAACACGATTCCATTTTGAGGGCCAAGATTACTGTCCCTCCAAAAGAAAAATGACATCTTCATCATTCATTACATTCAATGGTTGTTTGGAAAGCAACTAGGCAAGGAGGGGGAGACAGGCAGAGCAAGACATGCTAGGTGGTCCCACTCCCTCCCCAAACCCCAGCTGCCAGCAGCCCTGCCCAGGACAGAGGGAGTGGGCAGCACCCCAGGCTTGGCTCACCTTGGCGGGCTCCCTCAGCATCCCCTCGGGCATCGCCGCCCCGTTCATCTTGGCTATCCTCTGCAGCGTGGCCACGGCGGCTGCCACGCTTCCATTGTACCGTGCTGACTCCGGGATGAACTGAAAGTGGAGTGGCATCAGAAAGCCTTTCTGCACCTCTCTGTCCATGCAACCTGCTCACAGCTTCCTGTTGTACTGGAGCCCAGCCAGGCTAGCACGGGGCACTGCCTGAGCTGGAGCAGCCTTTTGCCTATTCTCCTCCTTAGCCGTGCCCCAGCTCCCTATACCCCGTGTTGGGGGGCTCCCCATACCCAACACACCCATGTCTTGGTCCAGCTCCCAGGAGTCTTCTACTGAGCTGTCTGTGGCAAGCACTCCTGAGAGGGGGAAGCCAAAGATGCTGGTTTAACAAAACTGACCCTTAATTAATTGAAATTCCAAAACGGGATGAAGCATGTGTCTCTTTTACTTAAGCAAGAGTCTTGGAAGACTCAACAAGGCCATTAAAAAAAAGGAAGACAAGGATGAAATTTAAGAACAAACTCACTCATCCCTAGCATTTGCAACGTTCAGCCATACCTGGTGCTCTTTCCAAAATAAAATACCTTCTTATTAAATGATGCCTCTATAAAATTGTAAACAATTACAGGTCTATCACAGAAATATTAATTAGAAACTCATTCTTTCTTAAATGCCGACTGTGTCTTTTTTTCCAAAAATTTTTGCTACCCATTTTTCCTGGCAAAAATAATCAGGGAAACCAAATGTCAGAGATATACGAGTGGACATTCACAGCAATCTTGTATTTGACTGCCCAGACTTGTGCATGTGTTCAGCTAGAGGAAGGGATTTCACATCTGCACGACTTGCACCAGCCACAGCTGAGCACTGTGGTGCCCATGAGCACTCTAAATAGGATTTTCCACATCACTCCCTGCAAATAAGACAGTCCTCGTGTCCAGGGCTGATATTTCTGAAGCGTGAGTAAACCTGAGGAAGCCACAGTTGACCATGACACTGATTAGGTGTGTGAACTCTTCTTCCCTCAGCCCTAGCCGAAGAGGGTGCACCATGCCCAGCACTAGACTGAAGATACTGCTTGCAATTTTTTGCATAGTCTGGGTTGTTGGAGGGCTACAGCAGGGCAGCAAAGACAGAGCTTTGCCAAGCCAAGCCAAGCCAACTCCCACAGGGTGACCTCTCCCCAACAGCTGGTCTGCAGCTCCCCCCAGGACATCAGGACCTTCCCCAGCCCCCCGGGTGAGGGCTGCGGTGGTGAAAGGGGGAGATAAGGACAGCTCCAAGCTTGCGGGAGGTGGAGGGTGATGTATCTTGGTGCCTGGGGATACAGTGCAGCAGGGAGTGGGGAGAAGAACTCTTCCTACCTTGAACACCAGGATGAGAAGGATGCCAGGGATGGAAGCAATTCTGATCAGCCACCGCCAGCCGATGGTTGGGTTCACCACCGATGCCAGGCCAATGATTAACAAGGATCCTGCCAACCAAAACACCTTTCCAAGAGAAAAGAAGGGGTTAAAACATGAACACATGGCAATGATTTGTTTATTTTCTTTCTTTCTGGTCTGGTCCCATAGATAAGTGGGGATCTGTGCTGAGGAGTGCTGCGGTTCAAACTGAGCCATCCCACGGCTGTCTGGGAAGCCAAGTTTGTGTTGAAGAAAGAGGGAAAGAAAGACAAAGATTTGGGAAGGGACAGCTGAAGATTGTCTTAATTAGCTCCAGAAGAAAACAGATAACTTGCTGTGGCTACTATTGTACTTAAAGCCACCACTTTTGTCCTTCCAGTCACTTCTCTGCTAATGTTCATGCTCCTGAATTTTCCTGTTGTCTAAATCTCAGCAGGGAAGCGGCAGATTTACAAGCACCGAAGGCAAAACCAGTCCAGATTTCCACTGGTGGAAGTTGGTGGGTCTCCAGTAGACTCAATGCCAAGTTGTACCAACAGGGAATCTGGCCCCTGATCTGCAAGTACATTCCTCCCTAAAGTTCACTTGTTGCCATGAGGAGACACATCCCTTTCCAGGGGACCACCCAAGGGAGCTCAACCAACACAAAGCACAGACAAATACATAAAAACCAAGTCAAGTTCATGAGTAATCTGTGGGCAGAAATAACAAATTTCTGACAAGATTATTCTTTTTTATAAACCTTTGTGTTTCTGATGGCACTTTGGTAATGAAGCCCTGCGATGAAACAGGCAGCAATGAAAAGCAAATTACCCCTGCCACCAAGACCATATACATACACTTTTGGTTCAAGTCAGATGAATTTATGTGCTCGATGAGGCCTCTGCAGAGCGTTTGGACATGCAGCGAGTGCCCACTGCAGAAATCTGGAGTAACCGAGAACCCCATTCACGCTTGCTGTCGTCTTTGCCCAGCAGGCGCTCACAAACCTCCCAGCATGTCTCAGGCCGAATCTGGGACTGTTTATGCCAGCCCTATCCTGTGCAAGGCCCATGCTGTCCCTGAGAAGGGACAGTGAGAGGGGCAGATTAGGACCCCATCTGGGAATCATCTGATTAACCACTTGTTATTGCTGGGGGTCCAAAGAGAGGAAGGGATTAGCTTAGGTGCAGGGGAGGTGCCACCCCAGTGCCTGCCAACCCATTGGCACTGGCCCCATTAAAGCAGGTAGCACCGTATTGATAGAGCAATCGAAAGGATGTCAGCCATCACGGAAAGTCCCCACCCAATGTTTGGAGCACCCAATTAATTGAGAAGAAGTTGCTGTTCTTGTGCTGTCCATGTGCATCTCTAATGATGCAGACACCATGCTCTGGGATGCAGGAAGCAGCAAGCACTCGCATGGGTGCAAACCAGTGTGAATACTCTAGGAGAAAGGCTGATGTGCTGGAGAACCAGCATCAGTGGGAGTGATTTCCTGGGACTCGGGGCTAGAAGAAACATTAACAGGCTTGCTCTTACCTGAGATAAGGGCAACATGTATCCTCGGTATTTGGTGGGCAAAAATTCTGTTTTTATGATAAGCCTAATGATAAAGGGGAAAAAAAAAAAAAGGCAGAAAAACAGCAACAATGAGAATTCCTATACAGTTCAGCTCAGCTCAGTCAGTGCTGGACTTTGCTGCCCAGAGACAGAGTGACCATCCCTATTCCACCATTGAGCACCCAAAGTTGGGAGATCCCTGTTCATTGTGCCTTTCACTCAGGCAGGCCTCAAATTACATTCAAAGGAGATGCACGGCATCTCCAGGATGGGGCTGTAGGATACAGACAGGTAACCACTGCAGTCTGCACACCAGGGTATCTACAGGTGGACTGAGGTGTCAGCACGGGCGTAGAGCATGTCTGTAGAATGAACAAGTTTTAGTGAATCTTTTTTTTTTATTATTAAACAAAGGAAACAGTCTGTTCCAATTTTATCAAATGGTTGGATAGCCCTTGGGGGAGGGCCTGGCACTGACACCTCTCAGGCTCACAGGTGTGAATTGTGCTTCCTTAGGTGGAAAGAGAGGGGTGGGGGGAAACCCTCATTGTCTCCTTCTATCTCAGCTATTGACGTGTTTTAGAAAAAGTGCAATTTTCCTCCATCCTCATTAGGCTCATTAGCATCCTCCATAGCCAGGGAATGTGGCTCTCCGCAAGGGAGGCAGCACTGGGAGCTCCGCAGATGTGGGAACCAGGCACAGGGTGCCTGCTCCTCCCAACAGCACCTATCTCCCTCGTGTCCTTCCCTTTGGCAAAGGGCTCTTGGGTCAATGGGACTGGTTTTGGACTTTCCTGTGTGGGCAGCAACCAGGCTTCAAGGAACCATGGAAGATGCTGAAATGTTGCATTTGTTTCCCTGAGAGGGTCGAAAGTAATAATTTATTTTGCCAGGCTCCAAGTGAAGTGGTTGTTAATATTGTGAATTTCTCCTCTCCCCCTCCACATCCCCCTTTCCTCCCCAACAGGGCAAAAAGTTTCATTTAAGTGGGAATGCTTTACATCTGTTCGAGAAGAATTTGCTACTTAAGCAGAATTGTTGTGACTTTTCTATGAGGAAGCAGCCTTTGCTCATCTGTTACCTGTCTAATTGTTTTTATAATATATGTGCTTAATAATCCCTCTGTCACTGGCTTAACGTAAACCAGCTGCCCCCTCTATTCCTGGTCTCAGGAGTCCTTCAGAACTGCAATTTAGGTCGACCAACGGGGATTCAGTGAAATTACAGAACAGCATTTTGTTTTAAGGCGACGTGGGAATTTGCTCCCCTTTCCACTTCCAGCCCCTGTGAAGGCCCCTTCCTCGCTGTCTCCTCCAGCTCACAGCACGGCCACAGCTTACCAGGCTCAGCAACGGAGACCAGGCGCCCCACCAGGGTCAGCCAAAATGAGCTGAAGGGCCTTTCTTGCTGTAAGCCTGGGAACTCAGCCCCGCCAGGTCCAGGGTGCCTCCACTCACCTCCCAGCGAAGGCTGGCTTGCCACTGCCCATGCCCCGAGGCACAGAGCACAGCCTTACCCTTGCGCGTGGCCCGACACGCCACCGCCTACCATGGCCCGCAGGAACACGAACCAGATGTAGGATGGGGCAAATGAGGTCAGCAGGGAGAAATATGCTGCCCAGAGGAAGGAGAGCAGCAGAATCTGCAAAAGGGGAAAAATTTGGGTCATAAAACCCAGAGCTCAGCCAGGCGCATGGCTCTGGTGGGGCTCAGGAGAAGGACGTGCAGCCCCCGGCGCACACTCACCTTCCAACGGCCATACCTGTCAGCCAGGAGCCCAAGCACTATGCTGAAGATCATGTAGCCAAAAAACACCATCTAAGGGGGATTGAAACATAGCCATGGAAGGCTCACTCCGGCAGCACCAGGCAGCTCTGCTCTTTGAACTGCAGGTGAGTCGAGCGCTTTCCAAGCAGAGCCATGAGCAAGGTGGCTTTCAGGGTCTGTCTTCCTCCATGTAGGCACTCACTGCTTCAACCCCCAAAGCTGAGGGTTGGATGGCAAGGACTTCAAAATAAGAATATGGAAGTGGGGGCTTGTTTTGGCATTACAGCTGTGGGAATAGATCTGTGCTCATGTCAGCTTGCTTTCTGGTTTTCCACAGCTGTGACACTGTTCTTGGGCCCAAGAGGAGGACCTAGGAATTTATTTGGTCCTCCGGGAAAGGTACTTTACAAAGCCCATGGTGGTGCCCTGGACAATGCCCACGTAGCAGATGACCTGCATAGAGGGAACACAAGTCACTCACCGTTGTCACTAGAGCCACCTGCCAGTCTTGAAGCTGCCACTCGCATCGGATGAGAGGGGACACAACAGCTATTAGCATGATCTCCATGGCTTCAGCCACCTTGGGGAATGAGCGTGCACGTTAGCAGGAAGGGAAGCCACAAGGAGTTCACAGAGGAAAGTCGTTCAGTCCTACCAAGGCTGCAGCCATGGTAGTCTGTGTCAAAACAGCCCTGTGAAGCCATGGAGCCTCCATAGTGGTCTGAGACCTGTGCCCCATCTGGAAGAGGCAAGCACTTGGAAACAAAGGGAGAAGGGGAGAAATGTGCACCTAGAAAGCAGGTATCTAGGAACACTCTGTATCTAGGAAGGCTGGGAAAACATCCTTTGCAGAGGAGACTCTCACCCAGCTGTGCTAGTGGAAGGTCTTAACTATCTCTGGAAGCCAAGCTGCTCGGTTAGGTACCCAGCTGTGAATTTGGGCATCTAACACAAAGATGAACTCTTAAAACTGTTTTTGATTAAAAATTTCATTGCTTCATTGGCTGTTTGCCCCAGCAGCTGGTTTCAGTTAAGAAATGAGCCTATCGTTTACACATAGCTGAAAGGCTTTTACACCTCACCTGTGTTGATCCTGACATGTCCCCATTACATCTTTACCCCAGCTTGGCCTCAGCCTTTTGCCCCAGTTCCCAGAACAGACACACCATTAACCCAAGACCCCGGCAGTTAGTTAGGAAATTTTTCGGGTAGGCTAGGATGAGAGGAGGGCAGCCCTCCCATGCCATATTCCACAGGGCTTGGGTGCCCTGGGGCTGGCATGAAGAATGCAGTTGGAGGCTGAATCTAACCCCCAGGAACTATTGAAGACACTCCCACCAGTGTACCAGGACAGGCGTCAGGCCAGGATGCTCTGAGCCAACTTGCTCAGCTTTGTCCTGAAATAGGTCTGATCTCAATTTTAGCCAATATCGATTTTGGCCAAAGACGACAACAGCAGAAATCCTGCTTGAGAAGGATATTTGAAAATAAAATGGGCTGCAATACGTGGCTGTGATGCTTATGGTTGTTACTGCACAGAAATAAGGAAAATGGGAAGAGCATTTTTTCAGGCCAGCGCAGATGGCTGCAGACACCTACCCCAGTGCTGCCCATGATCAGGAAGAGCAAGATGTGGAACCTCCCAAACCCAATGGTTTCCACAGCTTCTTCCACTGTAAATGTCTTCTGCCCTGAACACCAAAGGGAAA